GTCGTTCTTGTGTTGGCGCATTCTTTCCGGGAAACACTTGCTCTCGCCTATGTAGCAGGCTGGACACCCAGAACACGACACTTTGTAGACAACGCCCGGGTGTAGCTCCCTCGGAGGTCGGTCTTTCGGCCGCGGTAGCAAGCGGGCGAGCGTCGAAACAGGTTTATGGATTACCGTGACCCCGGCTCTTCCTAGGATTCTCGAGAGCTGTTCACTTATGCCCGGCACATATGGAATGGCAACGCGGCTGTTTGGCGCCTTCGTTTTTCTCGTGTGCGGTGGTGTGGCCAGGGCGGAAAGGGGGTCGGGCGGTGTGTCACTTGCAGGTGTCTTTCCGCGATGCGGTGGTTGTCGTCTCGACAAACGGCGTGACGCCCGGCGGATGAACGCTTCTGTGTAGCCATTCCCTCGTAGCTCGGCGACAATCCTCTTTTCTTCTTTCTTCCTCTCACCCTCCGACGTGCAGATTACTCGTGCACGTGAAAGGAGTGCCGAAACCACTGAAGCTTTGTGGGCAGTTGGATGACAGGAAGCAAAATGCAAATACCTGCCGGTGTGAGTTGGCTTTCTATACACCGAAAAAGTCATGCGCTCGCCCTGTCGTCTGACTAAAACATCGAGAAACGGGAGCGCCCCGTCTCGCTCTCGTTCCACCGTGAACTGTATCGCTTGGTCGATGGAGTTTAGATGTTCGAGGAAGCTGTCTACTGCTGCCTTCTTTATTATGCAAAAACAGTCATCCACGTACCTCACAAATACTTTCGGCCTGTCAATAAAGGAGCCCAGTGCCGTCTCTTCTATGTGTTCCATTGTGAGGTTCGCAGCCGTAACGGAGATCGCCGCTCCCATCGCGGTCCCGCTGGCTTGTCTGTAGAAGCTCCCGTTGACGCTGAAATACGTCCCCTTGAGGCAGTATTCCCCAACGATATTCAGATTTGCTTTTTTTCTTTTGTTACAAAGATGCCTTCTTTATTATGCAAAAACAGTCATCCACGTACCTCACAAATACTTTCGGCCTGTCAATAAAGGAGCCCAGTGCCGTCTCTTCTATGTGTTCCATTGTGAGGTTCGCAGCCGTAACGGAGATCGCCGCTCCCATCGCTCCCATTGCGACGCTTCAAGGAGAAAAACACCACTACAGTCCTGACAACGAGAATTTCGTCGTCAATCTGTCCTCCAAACAACTCTCCCCGACAGAGCACAACGTGCTGGCAAAGGGACACAACTTCAACACGACCACGACACGTCCGTCACTGCCGAAGATCATCGCGGCTACGGAGGAAGGCATAAGGCGACTCGACAGCGGCATTCGGGAGAACGTGCGCCTCAAGGCTATCGGCGTACTATCAAAAATAGGAAAGCGCCGTGGGCACAACCTGTCGAGAGAGGAGTGTAAGGCGATCCATGCGCTCCGAAATGATGATAAGGTTGTCATCCTCCCGGCCGACAAAGGGAACGCAACGGTCCTGCTCGACAGGGAGGCATACAACGACAGGGTGCGAGACCTGCTGGACAGTCCGGCCTACGAAAAGCTGACGAAGGACCCCACACCAAGTGTCCAAAGGGAAATGAACAAGCTCCTGGCGGATATCTTTAAAGCGCACTCGAAGGCGAGAAACACATACCTCCAGCTCATCTGCCGGAACGGCTCTGCACCAGGATTTTACGGGCTTCCCAAGATCCACAAGCCCACAGTTCCGCTCCGTCCTATCGTGGATTTTACAACATCTCCACTCCGGGCGCTGTCCAAGTATCTCCACCGGACTCTCGCGCCGCTCGTGGGGCAAACACCGACCCACATACGCGACGCCAGCCACTTCTTGGAGCGCATGAGAGATGTGACCGTGAGCAGCGATGAGTGCTTCGTCTCGTTCGACGTCGTGTCCCTGTTCACCAGTGTACCCGTAGCACTAGCGGTATCTAGCGCACGAGCAGCGTTGAACCAAGACGAGCTCTTGGATGAAAGAACCTGCCTGGGCGTCGACGAACTGTGTCGCCTACTGGAATACTGCCTCAAAGGGGACGTATTTCAGCGTCAACGGGAGCTTCTACAGACAAGCCAGCGGGACCGCGATGGGAGCGGCGATCTCCGTTACGGCTGCGAACCTCACAATGGAACACATAGAAGAGACGGCACTGGGCTCCTTTATTGACAGGCCGAAAGTATTTGTGAGGTACGTGGATGACTGTTTTTGCATAATAAAGAAGGCAGCAGTAGACAGCTTCCTCGAACATCTAAACTCCATCGACCAAGCGATACAGTTCACGGTGGAACGAGAGCGAGACGGGGCGCTCCCGTTTCTCGATGTTTTAGTCAGACGACAGGGCGAGCGCATGACTTTTTCGGTGTATAGAAAGCCAACTCACACCGGCAGGTATTTGCATTTTGCTTCCTGTCATCCAACTGCCCACAAAGCTTCAGTGGTTTCGGCACTCCTTTCACGTGCACGAGTAATCTGCACGTCGGAGGGTGAGAGGAAGAAAGAAGAAAAGAGGATTGTCGCCGAGCTACGAGGGAATGGCTACACAGAAGCGTTCATCCGCGGGGCGTCACGCCGTTTGTCGAGACGACAACCACCGCGTCGCGGAAAGACACCTGCAAGTGACACACCGCCCGACCCCCTTTCCGCCCTGGCCACACCACCGCACACGAGAAAAACGAAGGCGCCAAACAGCCGCGTCGCCATTCCATATGTGCCGGGCATAAGTGAACAGCTCTCGAGAATCCTAGGAAGAGCCGGGGTCACGGTAATCCATAAACCTGTTTCGACGCTCGCCCGCTTGCTACCGCGGCCGAAAGACCGACCTCCGAGGGAGCTACACCCGGGCGTTGTCTACAAAGTGTCGTGTTCTGGGTGTCCAGCCTGCTACATAGGCGAGAGCAAGTGTTTCCCGGAAAGAATGCGCCAACACAAGAACGACGTCAGGAAGATGGAAGTGCAACGTAGCGCTCTGGCGGAGCACTGCGAGAAGCACGACCATAAAATTGACTTAGACGGCGCTTCTGTTATTGAAACAGAACGGAATTTGGGAAAGAGGCTCTTGCTCGAGTCTTGGCACATTCAGCATACGCCTGCCAACGTGAACCGCTCGCTGGGAACATTGCCTTCGGTGTACGTTCACGGTCTCCGAAACGTGGTGGAAAGGGAAAGCCGGAGCCGTGGTGAGAGAACACGACGCGACGACACTTCCATGACCAAGACAGTCACCCCCTGAGGAAGGGACCGAGTCGGTCTCGAAACGTCGGACTCTATTTGAACTGTGGCTGGAGCAATTTCAATTTTCTAAACTTTTCTACCCAGCCAGACAGATTGCTGTCAAAATGTTTACGTTTAAAGCATGTAGAAGGGTATACAAGCTGTGCGCTAATGCTTGCTGGAACAGCGCGTGCACAAGCAATCAAGACCATGGCTTTGTAGTCAAGCTTCACAGTTGCCACTTGAGCGACCTCTCCTCCCGGCATCGTTTCCCACCTGTAAGACAGGTGGCACATTTCTTCTCTGTTTGAGCATTCAACGACAGGTCTTTCTTACACACGGAGGATGTTACCACGTGCATACTACGAGCAACCGATATGGGCCGGCTCGTTTGATCTCTGCTTTATGCAGCAGCGCTCCTAGCCCCCGCACACGCGCTGTTACTCCCGGGTAGAAGTTACGATGTGCCGGCTGATGTCATCAATTTAGACTTTATATAGAACATGATAGCAAAAACTCATTGAGAGTGTCCATATAAATTGCTATTGCAATAATAACACAATTTACTAGCGGTGAATAAGTACATTGAGTGAACTCTGCCTTCAGTTCCCCTTTTGTTTAATTCGTGCTTTTCTTTTTTTTTTTAATTTACGAGCTGTAACTGCACCAAACAAAAACCTGTTAATGATGATTTCGAGGGGTATTTGTCAATTTCATTATACCCAGTTTTAACTGTATATACGCCCTGATGCCCGTTGAGTTAGCATGCACGCCACCAATAGTGACCGAATCCTTACGATTAAAGTTCACACTTTCTGCTCGAGCAATCACTGCCTTGACAAAACCTAATGTAGAGCCATTTCAATGAAACCAAGAACATGATGTTTTAGCCTCGCTTTCTGGCATGGGGCTTGGTGGTTGTCCCGCGTTGCAACTGAATTTGAACGCTGCTGTGACTTACAGCGCTAATAAATTTGGTGCAAGAAGGGTGGTTTGGTGCAGGTAAACTAGTTTGGATACAATGCGCAGCAGTTCCACTGCTGCACATACACAACCATGCATCGTGTCAATAAGGCACAGGGACAACTGCTGTAGCTGATCGTGCGTAACAGAACAAGGCACAATCAACATGCACAAGTTCGTTCCAGGTGTACATCCCAGCCTTGGCTCCTATCAAAATAGTTTATCCCACCTTTGACAACAAGGTGCACAGAGTTGTAGTGTGGCTTTCATGAGTAACAGGTCCTCATCGGGTGCTCTGCATCAAAGCTTCCTTATTGTGCATCCTTTTACAAATACTTGCTTGAGTGACAAAAGATGCAGCACATAAACAAAATTTTTTTTTCTCTCATACAATCAAGCCAAAAGATTTAACAGTGTGGCCTTCGCACAAGAATGTGAGGTAGCGAGACGTTAGGGTCCAGAAGGTCAGGTCAGAGTAGGTTAGGTTATGTAAGGCACCAAGAAAGAAATTGTACAGTACTTGTCGATTGAAACTTGACATCTAATTTTTTAGTAATTTGATTCATTCGAGCAACTTCTAAAGACAACCACGTCATATCGCAATAAATATTGTCTCTAAATATAGTGTTGGCTTTAAACTAGACGTACGAGTCAAAATCACGCCAATATGACTACAATAAAGATGGGTGAAACGCAGGTGCCTGCTTTACTTAGACCTAGCTTGTCCTGTTTCAATCTGCGAGTACTGCACACGGCATTAAAGCAGTGTCAAATGAGCTCAGAAAGAATGTTCCCATAGTAAGCTATCACTCAGACGACATATTGCTACAGTCAACCCACCGTGACATCAAGCCGGCTCTTCTTTGGCTCTGAGGGCTCGCCCGTGGACCCGCTGGACGAGGCATTAGCTCCAGATGCAGGACTCTCGGACCGTGCCTGCTTTGCCTTGCGCATGGCCATCTGCCGCTTGTGCCGCTTGCGCACGAAGTGGTAGGCTGCGCACACAGCAAGCATGACGTGGTGTAGTCTTCAACTTGAGCGAAATCTTCTGTCTCAGCTGTGGTTAGTGGCGACCACAGCTAAACAAGTACTGATATGACATCCAAGACTATTCATATTGCTACATGTAGGCTGCCGCAATGCATATTGTCAATGCGCGTGTGCGCCCAACAAAAATGATGGTCAATTACTGCTCGAGCTCGGAACCAGACTGGCCAGCGCTGCACCCGCTCTTGCAAATATATTTTGTAAATATATTTGCAATATATTGACTCGGACGTGCGCCCCCCCATTTCTAAAGTTATATCAAGATACCGGATTTCTCACGTAACATATTTCGTGGAGGTGCTGGGTAACTCGTGACAGTACAAATTATCTCATGGTCTGGCTGCACACCAGAAGCATCGACAAGGTGGCCCAACACTGTGATCTGTCGGCGGCTGAAGTGACACTTCGAGGAGTTCAACTAGAGGACCGCATTGCAAAAGACGTTGAGAATGGCCAACAGACGCCCAAGGTGGGTCTCAAATGTGGGTGAAAATACGAGCACGTTGGCTAGGTAACACAGGCATGTTGACCATTTGAACCCGTGTAGCAGAGAGTCCATCATACATTCGATCGGGCTGGAGCATTTCATAGACCAAAGGGCATAACCTTGAATTGGTACGTTATACCGGCATAACTTCCATCCAGATGGCCCATCTCTGCTACTTGCTATACAAAAACACCTCCGCTTGGCTGTACTTCACAAACTTCATGACGTTTGTACTGCCGGTCACCTCGGCGTGTCCCGCACATACGACCGGATTCGCGACACTTCTATTGGCCACGTCTCGCACGCTCCGTCAGAAGATACATTGCGGCGTGTGAGGAATGTCAGCGCCGCAAAACACCGTTGACGCTTTCGGCTGGGCGCCTTCAACCACACGGCATTCCTTCTGACCTTTTCTTTCGCCTCGGCTTGGATTTACCCGGCCCTTTTCACCTGTCTTCTTGTGCTGGCAATAGCTGGATAGCTGTGGCCACTGACCACGCCACACAGTACGCCATCACACGCACCCTTCCAACAAGTTGCGCCACAGACGTCGATTTTTTTCTACGCGATGTGATCTTGCGACATGGTGCTCCACGCCAGCTGCTCACGGACCAAGGCCGCACATTTATATAGAGAGTCGTAGCGGACAATCCTACGCTCATGTGCAACGTGCCACAAGCGCACTACGTCGTACCATCCGCAAACAAATGGCGTCATGGAACGTCTGAACCAAACCCTAACTGACATGCTTCCAAAGTGGCCCCCAACGATATTTCAAAGTGGCCCCCAATGGTCTAAGGAAACGAGTATGTTTCCTTAGACCATTGGGGGCCGGGCTTTACCATACGTGACATTTGCATACAATTCTTTACGCCATGACACGGATGGTTACTCCCCATTTTTTCTGTTGTTTGGCCGTGCACCCACATTGCCTCTCGATACAGTCATTCCATTGCCAGCAGCTCCAACCACAGAATATGCCCTGGACATTATCAGCCAGGTCGCCCACGCACGCGAAGTCGCTCGTGCTCACCTTCTGACCTCCCAAGAAAACCAACAGCATCCGTACGATCGACACCGCGATGTGCACTTTTCGCCCGGTTGGTTGGTTCTGCTGTGGTCCCTGACCAGGCACGTTGACGTATCTGACAAACTGGTCTCTCAATACACAGGGCCATAAAGAGTGCTTCGTGCAGTGACTCCCGTCACTTGTGCAATCACTCCTGCTGCCTCGTCATCTTCATGCACCCCTTAGGCCAGCTACATCGTACACGTCACACACCTGAAGCAGTACCACTTGCCCAATGGATGTTGACATCTAGATGCGCCGAGACGGCGCCTTTGCCGACGAAAGTTCTGCTACATGTAGGCTGCCGCAATGCATATTGCCAATGCGCGTGTGCGTCTGACGAAGAGGATGAAGGTCACTTGCTGCTCGAGCTCGGAGCCAGACTTGCCAGAGCTGCAACCGCTCTTGCAAATATATTTTGTAAATATATTTGCAATATATTGACTCCTTACTCACGTAACAATACTTTTACAATTAAATCAAGATACCGGATTTCTCTGACAGCAAAGCATGAAGTTGGCAATGGTCTACCTTTCTTTTTTTCATGAAGAAGTCGAGTGCCTATGCTTGATGCTTTATAGTAGGCTAGCGCTGTGAATTTTTTCATTTTGAGCAAAGTTGAAACAAACAGTAATTAGGAATAAAAAATTTTGAAGCAAGTTAGACAGTGGCAGGATTTTAATGCTAGCAATGTAAAGTTATATATAGTAAAATACTTAGTTTTAAGTTTGCCATAAGTTGCCTATATTAACCCATATAACAGATTTCTAAACTTTAAGAAATACTTAATTAGGTTGCAGGTATTACGCATACCGAGACCTAACTATGGCTTTGCAGCACCGTGCATTTTCCCTGCATACATAGCTTTATAGCATGGTGACCTTAAGGGTTTAAGCCTTTGCAGGCTGGTTACATGGATTAAATTACGTCAATTAATTTGTTTGAAATGCTTTGAAATTGTGGACATGGCAAATTTATGTTAAAGCAAATTTCACACCGCAATATTCATTATGATGCCACACAGGTAGAGTGAAAACTCTTTGGTTCATGTTAGCTGATGCTGTACATGTACGGCACAAAAACCGTCGATGAGTTAACAGGAACAAAATACTGACCAATAGGAGGCTCTTAGAATAAAAGTGCACAAATAATACAGTGGTACTTCGATAATACATCCCCCAGTTTCGTGACAACCTGCATTTTATGCCTAATCGGTTTGGTCCCATCAAAACTCTCACAGAAACAATGTATTAAAAACCTTAGTTATACGACGCAGTTTTATGCCGACCTCACATTTTACGACTACTTTTAGATTTCGTCTGAAAGAAAAAACCACATTTGCTTTAATCAAACGTCGACCAAATAGTCACAAGTGCAAAATGTGAACTTGCATTCACATAGGTTGACGATTAGAAAAGTAGAGTGAGATAGGATGTCTTGTTAGAGAGGAAAATTTATTCTCCTGCAAGTTCATGAGCTTATACATACGTCTCAATCGCGCACGTATGCTTTCGGGGTCGTCACCTAGTCAAACTTTATCCACACAGAGTAGCTTCAGCGGGCTGAAAAGCAGATATTTTCACGTTTTTTATACATCAGAATTTTTCCTGGTCGACATACAGCTGATTTCCTGCCTTAGTCGCACTTGCAGTCAGAGGCTGGTGCACGCATAAGGACTCGACGAAGCTGTTTTCACCATTCAAAATTACTTTTGCTTAATGTAAACATTCATAATAACAGTGGGACATCATTAGATGCCCTTCACAAGCCAACAAAGTACAATGTGCACAGCTCAGTCACGCACGAAGACATTCTGTGCAAACTCGTGGTTTGTCGCCATTATATGATAACGATGACACTGTGTCTAACTATTCTGACAGGAGGCTGTTACCTATGCGGTTTCGGCTTGGTTTGCACAAGCACGCAATTTTTGGACTGAGTTTATTGGTCGAAAGATGCGCGCTGGATTCGACATTTTTTTTTTTTTAATGAGATTCACTCCCAGCTCCTCCAACCATGTAATACTGCCATTAGCTGCCAATGGAAAGAATAGTAGAATCCACCATCCTTGTGGAGGCACAAGGTCGTGCTGTGGGCTTATTCGGGCAGTCTGTACACTTTTTGTGGCCAAGGCTGAGCGTCTCTGCCTAAAATCTTAGTTTTTCGATTAGACGATGCTCGGATTATACGACGGTAATGTGTGGTCCCCTGAAAGTCGTATAATCGGGGTTCCAGTGCTCACTGTATTTGGTCTTGGTGAGTCCCGAGCAATTATTGGGACAGGAGTTCTCGCCAAAGCTCGTGGGTCCGAACAGGTTTGGGCAGCACTCGAGCTTCTCGCAGATGCTGCGGCAGAAGGCGCCCACCTCCCCGCTGCTGCGCACCGTCTCCACTGTGGCTCGATACGTCTTCCCTTTGTACCTGCATAGGAAACTCCAGTCAGACGCTCCTCACTGTGGCACAGAACTATCGCATGGAGTTTGGCCGGCAGCAGGGTGTGGCATGCCGCAATGATTTGTCTGTTTCGATTTTGGCGTCATTTATGGTCCCTTTGCAAGAAAACTTCAGAGTGCATAAAATGCTGCAAGACACCATCGCAATTTATTATCATAACCTGAAGGAAGAGTCAAGGTGCGTGCTGCATTATTTCTCTTGATCGAATCACTAATTTTTGCTACAGGAAATGTTTACACATTATCGAAAAGGCACGCAGGGCACAAGCAACAGATACAAAGCATGCAGTACAATGCACTCTCTACCTGCACCGTTATCCCTGACCCTATTTTATCTTTCATGCAAATAATTTTAGCGAAAGCACACACAGTGAAGGGAAGTTCATGAAAGAGAATAAGCATCATTTACTTACTAGTTGCCAAAGCCACAAAAAAGGCCATACTGATTTCTCAAACAAAAGCATTCTAAGTGAAAAAAAAATAAAAAATCTGTCCAGCTTTGAGATTCAAATGCAGGGCCAATGCCTTTGCGAGGTGATCGCTCTCGATAAGACACACGTCTTTGCAAGCCCAAAACAAGACTTCCACAAAGAAGAGATAGACCTCACATATAGAAAACACGTGACACACAAACATGAGCACTATGCATTTCTTTCTGTTGATTTCTGATGTCACACCGTGCATTGCTTGCCACGATTAAGCCTAATCAGGATTAGGTTTATCAATGGTGATGGGTTGCTTTCTGTAGCTTGCAACAAAGGAGCCAATCACGATAAAGAAACCCAAGCTGAATCAGGCCCAATTACAATCTAAAGTGACCACAAGTCTCACCAGTATACGTCTCTTCCTTGTGCGAGTGTTGCTTTGTGTTTGCTAAAAATGTCCAATACCTGTGTGACACGAGCATTTGGAAGGCCACTGAAACATTGGTCTATCAACTCAATTGTCAAGCAGGAGCTTTCGAGTTAATGAAGCACTCCACACATCCTTCGAAACTTCAATGGCTACTGAGCGACTGAAGCAGAAACAGCACGAACCTGCCAATGCTGACAAGCGGTGAAAACATCGCCAGTTTTTCTGCTCAACAACTGAAAAACCGAACATGCATTTGCAATTACGTGTAAACAATATAATGAGACTTTTAAACAAAATTAACAGATGCGGGTGTGCTTTGAAGAGTATTTATACCAACTCAAACCTTATTATAACGAAGCTGCATCTTACAATAAGTTTGTTATACTATTTAAAAATTCATAATAAAGGTAAATTCCTAACACTATATCTATTGCACGGATATTCTCCATTCACTTTCTTATAATCGATATTTCATTATATGATGGTTTGGGTGTATTTCAATTACGATAAAGTTGTCTGGAACTGCAAATCTTTATTTTTGTTTTCAATTAAAACGTAAATGAAGATTTGCAGCACCACACAACATTTGCAAAAAACACCCTAACCACTCAACGGCCATTGAAAGCTGCCGTGTAGCAGCGCGACAACTCTAACGGGTCGATGGAGGTGCAGCATGTGGTTGGCTGTCGACTCGACGGCATAAGTGCCAATGTGACACAGGTACAGGTTTAGTAATTGCCAACTAGCCCAAATTTTCATGTTGAGTAGTCTTCTCTCAGCAGCTCATTGAACGTGCTCTACCTTTGACTTCAGTAGTTGTCCTGGGCGATCTACTCACTTGGCCTTGAGTATCTGCTGGTGCATGCCTGGTGTAGGGCTTCCCCGCAGCTGGAGGATGGCAAGCACCCTGCTGGGCTTGTAGGCGACACCGATGAGCTGTGCCAGGACCTCACGCAGCACCAGTGCTACGGGACCCGGCCCCGTCTGACGCGGGAGTTCAGCCAGGCGCCCCTTGGACAGCAGAGGGCCCGAGAAGCACCGGTGGTTCAGGTGCAGCGCAGGGCACCAGCCTACGATGACAGTTTGGTCATTGTAAACTCAACGAGCTGCAACCACAAGCTGCCACGTATTTAAGAGAGCTAACAGACAGTAATGCCAAGGAAAGGATAGTGTATGTTACTAGAATTGTAAAGTAAATGTGAAGAAAGAAAAGTGGATGTTCAGTAAGACTTGCAGTTAGCCCAGTCAGTGTCCGTCCATCTCACCAGAAATAAAACAAATGAAAGCAAGAGCTCCTCGATATGTGGACGTTCCTGCCAAGTGGGTAGAGAATAGCCTACTTACCTGCCCTCCACACGTTCCTCTCTCAATCATCTCCTCAGCTTCTGACATCAAGGGCAACTTTGGCATACAAAACTACCAGTTTAACACTTTTGTGACCACGCCTATCCCCATCAATAGTATGTTATCTATATTTACAACTTCAACAATTGCTGGCACCATCTGACGTGTAGAAGAAGAAGTATTTCATCAGTTTTGTTTTTGTGCTTCCCTTTTTTCAACCACGTGGGGATTTTAAAGCGCCTTGAGCATGTGTGGTTTTATTGATGGCATCGACGTTGCGTGTGTCCATTTCACGAAAACGGGCAATTTCGGAGAATTCCCGTGCATCTGGGCTAGGATCTTGAAATGATGACAACAGCACAGGCTTGGAAGACGATATCAACACTTCTAATCTCAGCATGAGTTCAACCGCCCCGGAACATCAGCGGTCGTCCGCTAGTAAGTTCACCTTTGTGCTCGGGCGGCATTATGGCCGGCGCACGTCTGTTTAAATCGATCAGGTGTGTTGTGAGGGTTGGGGTCCACATCCTTTAAGCGGGACACTTGCCGGCGGCAGCGTAGAGTGTGCAGTTTCGTGCGCTGAGGCAACCCGGAGTGAACCTTGGAACTGCGCTCTGTGGTGCTGCGCGGCGCTTCGAGAGCTGTGACTTGGTTTTTTACTGCTCATCTTATTAGACAGAACAGAAAACAAAAGCTTTCTGTGAAACATGCGCAGCAAACCTGCCTTCTCCTGCATCGCAAAACTGCTTCGCTCAGTGGCATGAGAGACACCACATGTATTGTTATTCCATGTACACAAAAATTTTTTATTCACAGCATTTATATTTACAGGATAATTGTGAGTATCCTTGTGCTTATAATGTATATTTCGATTTTCTTTTATACTTATCCTGTTCAGAGCAGCATTGATGGTTTTATGAAATGTCTTTGTTTATGTTACAACTTTTCTCGTTTGATTTTTTTTTTTTTTACTACAGTTGACGTTTGATTTCCTGGACCCTCAACGTATGGCGAAAACGCCCGGAAAATCGGACAGTTCAGGGGTTCTGAAAAGAGCCATTTAGAATTTTAAAAAACGAAAGAAAGGGGAAAAAAAGCCAATGTGGCCAGCAATACTGCATTTGTAAACACTTAGGCAGGGGGGAGGGACACAAAAGTACCTTATTTTTGTTTGCACGGCATTCCACTCACCCACGATGATGTCTGCCTTCATCTTAGCTAACGTCATGCTGTCGCTGTACACCGATAGTGAAGCTGGTGACAGTGTCAGTGCTCGCATAAACTTTAAAAAAAATTGCTATGTAGGCGCTGCCTTTTCTATCTCGGTGTCAGAATCATTGGAAGTAACTTTAATGATTTCATCATCGGTCAACTCTGCACACAGCTCGAGGTATTCGTCAGCGTCGGCAAAGCTGTCAAAGGTTATCCCGGCTGTAATTGAAATGCCGGCAGCGTGCAGATCGTTGAATGTGTGAAGAAGAAGATGTGCCTGCAGCGAGCAGCATCGCCAACGCCCGGCTCTCTCGGCTCGTGCTTCTGCTCGCTGCTGTGCTGATCTCTGCTGGACGGTTCTTCACGCTGTCTTGCCGTTGTTGTTATCGACTAATAAACCTCGTCACATTTGGTGGAGGGTGCTATTTATCCCCGTCGCTACAACGCCAACCCATCGGCATCGTCGCCCCAGTTCAACTGCCCTGGCCATCCTAGGCTACGGGACCCGAAGGTCTTCAGCGGTGCGGATGGGACCGACGTGGAAGACTGGCTTGAGCACTACGAGCTGGTGAGCGCCAATATTAAGTGGGATGAAGCCGACAAGCTCGGCCATGTCATAATTTATCTCACCGGCGTCGCAGAATTGTGGTTTAACAACCACAAACACAACATCCCCACATGGAGTGTCTTCAAGACGTCATGTGCTGAAGTGTTTGGTAGGCCGGCTGTCCACAAGCAGCGGGCAGAACAGCGCTTGCGCGTCCGCTCTCAGCAGACTGGCGAAAATTTCACCAGCTATATTGAGGATGTCGTCGACCTTTGTCGACGCGCGAATGACACCATGCCCGAGTCGGACAAGGTCAAACACATCCTGAAAGGCATCGACGATGGCTCATTTCAAATGCTCTTGGCTAGAAATCCGAGCACAGTTTCTGAAGTCGTCAGCTTGTGTCAGAGCTACGACGAGTTGAAGCAACGCTCTCTGACTCGACAACCTCAGCGTGGTGGTGAGTCGCTGTCCAGTTTTGACACCATGCCTGACAATTCACCATTGCTTCAGCAAGTCGTCCGAGCCTTCGTCCGTGAGGAAGTCGCCCGCCAACTTTCTCTAGTGCCTTTTACTCACAAGACCACCACCCGTCTACCCGCCCCGCTTCGCAGTGCTATATCGGAAGAGGTTGCACAAGCTGTTCCCCTTGAGCACTACGAGCCGCCTCTATCTAGCCGTGTCCACTGCCAGCGTGTTGCACAGCCGGTAGGTGCCCCTGTCGCCTATCCGCCAGCGATTCAGCCTGTGGCCGCGCCCCTAACATATGCAGCGCAGCTTGTGGCTCCTCCTGTCGCCTGTTCCCAAGAGATGCAGCCCGAAGCCGCCCGCTCACAAATGCAGACGCTGTGCATAGGCTTCCGCAACCGCCCTACAGCACGCGCTCACAGCCCGCACACCCGGCTGCTTATACTACACCTTGGGCGGCACCACCAGTCGCCAATCCATGGAGGACGCCCGATAACTGACCAATTTGCTACGCTTGCTTCGCTCCCGGACACGTTGCCCGCTACTGCCACCGTCGACCTCAGACGTACGGCAACTATGCCCGGTCGTCACAACCCGGCAGCCAACCCTTCGACCAATATGGGCCGGTCTCATCGCCTCGCTATGCCCCTACTGACTACCTTGACTTCCAGCCGCAGCGCGCACCGTCTCCTCGTCGGCGATCGCCCTACCCCATGTGTCGCCGGCCTGGGCCCTCCGAACAGGAAAACTAAGTAAGCACCGTAGTTCAAGAGGCAAGAACTGCGCCGTTTTCGAACTGTCTAAGCCCTCGCCCCTCTCCTGCTAACGTGGTCGCAGTAATTGTTCAAGGTTATTGTACTTTCGCCCTTGTGGACACCAGCGCAGCTGTTTCTGTTATTGCCGCTAATCTCTGCCGTTTATTGCGCAAAGTCACGACGCCGTTTTCGGGACTGTCACTTCACACCGCAAGCGCACAGCAAGTAACGCCTCTCGCAGCCTGCACTGCAAGAGTGTCCATCGAAGGCATTCTTTACATCGTGGAATTTATTGTTCTCGCTGTCTGTTCGCATGATGTCATCCTCGGGTGGGACTTCCTATCCCGCCATAATGCCGTCATAGACTGCGCACACGCCAAAGTTGAGTTTTCACCCTTGCGTGATGTCCCATTACTGGACGCTCTTAATCAGCCGCCGAATTTGCTCGTTCATGAAGATACCGATATTCCACCTGAAAATTTCGCCCTTGTTCCCATTTCATGCAACGGCTACACTGACGCTACATGCCTTTTTATGCCTTCCGATATCTTCAAGAGTCGTCGAGCTCTGCCGCTGCCTTTCGCAACAATTGACCTTGCCGCCGGAAGAAGCAATATGTTAGTAAGCAATCCGTTTTTCACACCTGTCACTTTGCTTGCGGGGGAATGTCTCGGCCACGTGCAGGACCTCGACCCTTCGGCTTTAGGTCCGTTCGATTCGCCTGCACCAGGTGAACCAGTTCACGAGGTGCTGCACCTTGCCATTCGTTTCAGCGGTGCAGCATTGACGACCGCTGAACCCTGCCATTCGTTTCGAAAGGTGCAGAAGAGGTGCAGCACCGGTTCATGATTTTCCTGCACCTCCTTCGCTGACGGTGCCGGCTTGGTGCAGCCGCGCGTGCAGCTGAGCAGACGACGCAGCACTTAGACGTAGGTGGCTTAGGCGCCATACCTGCCTCTACAAACGCGTTGTGTATTTTCAAGATGTTTGCGCCTCATAAACTGTCCGCAAGTGCGTTTTGCCATAGGTCAGTGTCTGATTAACGGTGTAAATTAACCAAAAAGAAATAAGGCCAACACCTTGTCGGCACATCGTCATTTGTTTCGGGTGTCGTGCTCTGCCTGCACCGCTGAACTCACGCTGCACAATTTCTGAACTTCGCGTGCACAGCCGTGAACCGGTTCCGACCGGTGAAGGTGAATCGCACGGACCTTTTGATTGATGTCCCGGATGACTACTGCGACCACCCAAAAGCACTGTCGGAACTCGGGGAGTCGTCCAATGATACGTTTTCCAGCGCCATCGCCGACACTCTCACTCCCACCGAACATGCCGACCTGCTGGATCTTCTGCAAGAGTTCAGAAGTTCTTTCGATGTGTCGCAGTCTCAACTGGGCCGCACGTCACAAGTCAAACATCATGTTGACAACGGCCTACACCAGCCACTGCGCCAAAGACCATACCGTGTCTCCACTGAAGAGCGCCGCGTCATCAACAATCAAGTCAAAGATATGCTTCGTAGAGACGTCATTCGACCATCTCACAGTCCCTGGGCGTCTCCTGTCGTCCTCGTGCGTAAGAAAGACGGATCTATCCGATTTTGCGTGGACTATCGTCGTTTGAATAAGATAGCCCGCAAGGACGTCTATCCTTTGCCGCGCATTGATGACGCCATCAACACCCTTCACGGAGCGGAATTTTTCTCGTCGCTAGATTTGCGGTCTGGCTACTGGCAAGTCCTAAT